CTAACAAGATGGTCTGGATAGATTTAGTTCTGCATGGCAGAGATCTCAAGACCATTTGCCTGAAGCTTTGTATATTTCTACAAGAAAAGGAAGAAGCAAAGAAACCCCAAATCTAATTTATCCGGTTTTCTCCAAAGATTAGTTATCTGCAGACATTGTGTAGCTCAGCTCCATCTTTCAGAGTCAGTAAACATAAAAGTTGCCCTCTCATTGGATTACTCTCCCATAGTAGTTCAAGAGTCTCCTTGTCATTTCTCCTGTCACCACTTTGGCAGTCCCATCAGCTGAAGCTCTAATTCCCATCAGCCACAAATATTTCGGATTTTCTCGCAAGCCCGGTCTAAATGGGTGGCCTTGCTGCTACCAATAGCAGAGATAGAGTAACACAGACTTAGCCAGACTCCTTCAGAATATGTCTTGACAAAACCTCTTTACACAGACTTAGCCAGACTCCTTCAGAATATATGTCTTGACAAAATCTCTTCGATTTCATGCCCACAACAGTCTTTCTATTCTAAATAACAGTCTACTATCAAGCATCAAAACCCTATCATCAAAATTACAGATATTCCTACTATCAAGCATCAAAACCCTATCATCAAGATTACAGATTATATTTTAAGGTTCTTTCTTACAGTCACTGCTAACACGAGACTCAAAATTAAGTTGCCCTCTCATTGGATTACTCTCCCATAGTAGTTCAAGAGTCTCCTTGTCATTTCTCCTGTCACTACTTTGGCAGTCCCACCAGCTGAAGCTCTAATTCCCATCAGCCACAAATATTTCAGATTTTCTCCCAAGCCCGGTCTAAATGGGTGGCCTTGCTGCTACCAATAGCAGAGATACAATAACACAGACTTAGCCAGACTCCTTCAGAATATATGTCTTGACAAAATCTCTTCGATTTCATGCCCACAACAGTCTTTCTATTCTAAATAAGTGTCTACTATCAAGCATCAAAACCCTATCATCAAGATTACAGATTATATTTTAAGGTTCTTTCTTACAGTCACTGCTAACATAAGACTCAAAATTCCCTGTGACCTACATTAAGAGTCTCCATCACAAAGACGGAACCAAGGTCCGAGTGGGATTTTCCACAGGTGACACATGGCACCTAGTAAAGCACCGGCTGCTCTGTCACCTGCGTGATGAAGAGGAGGAAGAGCTGCTCCTTTTCAAGCACAAAAGTTCAGATCCAAGGTTTGACTATGTTCTGTGACCTACATTAAGAGTCTCCATCACAAAGATGGAACCAAGGTCTGAGTGGGATTTTCCACAGGTGACACATGGCACTTAGTAAAGCACCGGCTGCTCTGTCACCTGCGTGATGAAGAGGAGGAAGAGCTGCTCCTTTTCAAGCACAAAAGTTCAGATCCAAGGTTTGACTATGGCACTGAATTTGCAGACAGCACACCCTTTTAGTTTGTGCAGTCTTAAACATGAATTTGCTCCTTTTCAAGCACAAAAGTTCAGATCCGAGGTTTGGCTACAGCACTGAATTTGCAGACAGCACACCCTTTTAGTTTGTGCAGTCTTAAACATGAATTGCTGCTCTCTCACATCAAGCCTTGTCTTATGTCAAGACTCCATGATACCTGCTGTTTTTGAACTAGGTATGATAATAACAGAAAAGGGAAGCAGAGAAAGCGCAAACAGTCTGAAGAATACTTCTAGCAGTGTTTAATTTTGCATGGTGGGTAAACCATCATCACGTGTCAAAGCACTGTCTACATTTGAGATCCCAAAGCCTATTATGGCTTGAGCCAGGCAGCTACTCCGCTTCTCTTCAACAGGTCCAACTTAACTACATGGAGCAAGGAGATTCTGGCTCAAGTCAAAAGGATGTAAACTATAAAAACAAATCAGATATTGCAGTGATTAACACAAAAACGTATACTTTACAGTCTGCTAGCTACCAACTGTATCTCTTAGCCACTGTTTGGTTTTGTTTTTGTTTTTTTTTTTAATTTTCATGTTTGTAGAAACAGCCAAGTTGGCAAATTGTGCCCAGAAATTATTTTTGGTTTCTGACACTTTACAAAACTAACTTTAAATGACTGAATGACACATCAGTCACGTCGCATCTGAATCTTGATTAGCAAATCAACATTTTATTTTAAGGATCATTAATGTAAAGTTAAATAGCACCCAAAAATCATACTGCCTGTGTGCACTTTCCTGATTAACCTTTAGCTGTCTTGTTTGGGTAAACTACATGACTCTTTACAACAAGATTTCCACATTAAGCAGATTTCCATTCAAATTACAACAACAGCTGTAACTGCTACCTTAGAAAAACTTTTAAAATTTTAGAGCACATTAGCTGCATTTCCCTTAAAAGAAAAGTTTCACAGAAGTTCCTCAAAGCTTACTGTCAGCTGCTATCTTTAGCCAATTTATTAAAGAGGCTAAGAATTCCTTGCACCTTTCAAGTGACCTGGACAACTCTGCTTCTCCTGATAAAAAGTCAATCCAGAATACGTGCCAAAGAAAAAAAAAAATATCAGTCTTCCCTTAAGCTTTAGTCTAAATGGAAGACACTAGGCAAAACTGACTTAAGACATACATTGGGGTTTTTTTTTGCTTGTTTTTAAACAGAAGGGATAAGAGCTTAAAGTTATTAAGCTTTCTGCCTGTACTATTTTTCCTTATGTTCTGAACAGCAGAGACATCACATAACTTTTTTCCCCAGTTCGAGATTACTGCCTTTTGCAAACTGTATATCTCTTGATGCTAAAATCCCTACTGCACTTGATTTGCACTTGACCGTATTTGATTGGTCAGGAGAAATTCCATCAGCTCACATCCATTCTCCACAAATCTTTTAGAAATCCTTTCAAAAACCAATTACCTCAATAGTTTTGAATGGTCTGCAAATGTGAAAGGATTGCAGATTTTCTAGAGAAGGTGTGGATCCTCATATAGCAAGTTTAAGCCAACTTAAAGGCTCTTCTTAGTCCACAAGTGACAGGTTACAAATCACTGTTTTTACACGGCCTAAGTTAGCAGTCATGCAGTATTATTGGGCTTATCATGCTAGAGATGAAGAAAAGCTGCTCTTGTGGAAACAGTCCTGGGAAGTGACTCCCATTTTGGCAGCTATTCTCACAGAAGAGTGGATTAAGTATTCCTCTCAACCCAGCTATCTCAAAAGATTGTCAAGGAAGACGGATATTCTCCCAGGCAAAGGAGCTGCCTCCATTCCATCAGCAGAGGACTAAAGAGACAGGTCACAAGTTCAGTATTAAAATTTCACCTTGATCCAAGTGCCTGGAGGGCAGTCAAGCACACTTGTCTAGGACATTGTTTCCTGCAAACTGCCATACCAACTTAATTTACCAGTACGGCACAAGTATTTCCTGCAGTTCTATGACCAAGGCTCCCAGTGGAAAACTCACCAACATCTGTCACGCACCCTTATCAGAGCTCTGAAATTTGTCCTTGCATTAAGCTTCAGAGCTAAGAAAAAGAATTCATATTACATGAATTCTTCATGTTCAATGAAGGAGGAAGAAGGATAATTATTTGATTTTCTGCCTTCCTCATTCACCTTCAGATAACACAGAAATAAGAGGTCAGCACAGGAGTCTGCTAAAACTTTTGGCAACCTGTCCTGATCACTCACGACCCCCCTTCCTCTCGCTAGCCCGTGACAAGAGCCATGTCAGGCTCCAGATGCCATAGCAGTCTTCACACCTATCTCACAAAGAACAGCTAAGGTTCCAACAGCCCTTGCTGAGAGAAGGCTGGAGGAGGCTGACAGGAATCATCTCTCGTGAAGCGTTACTACAGCGAGACATCTGAAGACTTGATTTTTTTAGCCTGGCATCTCCATAATGGGAGATGTGTATTATCTGCTGAAAAGAAGCCAAAGTACAACACAGACCAAGCTATAAAAGTATGACCATGCAAGTCTTTCTGAGTTAATTCCCTGCACTGTCAAAAAGTTAACACCAGCAACTGTAATAGCTCTTCTGGAGGATTTTCCCAATCTACCACAGGAATCAATAAAAATGGCAAAGCCCTGAAAAAAGTATCATCTGATGGACAGGGAACTGTCTATTTAACCATATCAGTGGTTTTTCCTGACCATCTGACTATCCTTAAGCCCCAATAGTTTAAGTGGCTACAGCTTAAGTGGCTACAGCAGGCATTACAGAGGAACCAAGCTATATGCAGCCTTGTTCCAAAAACCAAATGCTTGGCTTTTAGTCACACACAGCTGAAAGGTCCCTGACTGAGGGAATCCCATGAGCCACCCACTCGACTAAATACTGCGCAGCAGCTACTGGTGGGAAAGCACTTACTCTATAAATTGAAGCAAGAAACTGACCCAAAACCTAGACTTTTTTTTTTTTTTTTACAGTGAGTTTTAGTTTTTGTTACAATATTTACTCTTCCTAGCAAGCACACATTACTATATGAGAAATAGGCTATATTGAGACTCGGCACATGAATGGAAATTCAAGTTGAAAGTTGAGTATTCTTAACTAAATCCTGCTAGCTCAGATTATCCCGTGATTGCATTCAAGTCCATTCACAAAACCAATTAGCTGAGCTGCATATCTACATAATGGTTCCCAGAATAAACAACTTTACTCTCTGCAACAAAATTAAGTGGCTTCACATTGAAGAGCACACAGTCCATCTCTCAAGTTGAAATTTCATGCAAATATAGTAGGGTTTTAACAATCTGATGAGAATTACATTAGTTCTCTTGTAACATGACAGCTTTAAGCATCAATAAAGTCAATAAGGACATTACAGAAAACAATATTGATACTTCAGCTGGAATGATGAGCAGTTACTCCACACAGCCCAAGCCTACTGTAGTCAAGGCCCAGACCCTCCCAGGATGTAAATCCCCAAGCCCATCAGCTACTCATTAACAGTCCTATATATATACTTTATCATAAGTATTAAAAAAAAGTTACTTTAGCTTTAACATAGCTACATTTTCAACACATGAAAGTAGTATTTAAGAAAAATCTTTTTACCTCTGTTGGTTTGTAGCAATCTACAAGAGTTTCCTAGAAGCAAAATATGAAAGTGTCAGTTCCAATACAGAATAACAGTGAACATAAGCAAGTCTACAGTATGAAACCTGGGCAAGGGAGTGGGGAAAGAAAAGGAGCAAGAACCAGAAATCTCTGCATGAAGCTGCTACTGAAAACCAAGTGTTACAGCAAGTCACCTTTGCTGCCTAAGTGGATTAGAATGATTTGCAACAGGACAGAAACGATGGCTTCTTCTGCCAGGCTGGCAGTTACAAAATGCCTCTCTCCAAGAAGAACCTAAGAACATTTCTCCCTGCAACACATGTGACATGTAACTTTCTGTGAGGGCACCACAGTCTTTGTAATGCAGAAATACAGACATCAGCTAGGTCAGATATTCCCAGCAGGATGGCTGCAGCAGCTACTTCAGACATAAGCAGGAAAGCTATTTATGAATGCTGAGTGAGCAGCCTGGGGCCATGCCCCATGTCTCAGTGGGCACTTAGAACAGGGTGCCAGTAGGCACTGCAAGTCAGATACGGTGCATCTAAGCACCACCTTAGTCAACTCCCAGAAGTGAGCTGAGGGCAAAGGACTGCTCTGGGACAGGTTTCCTTTAGTGCATCTGAAAAGATTATGAACAGAGACCCTTATATCTAAATCAAGATATAAATCCAATATATGTATCTGTATTAAGACAATGATGTTTCTTTCCTTCTCGCCCTCATTCTTCCATTCATTAACTTTTACCTTAAGCAGGATTCAGAGAATTAGAGAGCTGCTTTGGATTGTATAATTTCAGGAGACAGCTGTTGCTGATCATCTCCTCCTTTTGTCAAACTTCTAGACAACTTACTCCAAGATAACTCGATGGGTTCCAATGTCTAGCTAGTATAGACACAGAAACCAGAGAAACAATTTCTAGTATCTTAAGGACAAGGGAGGATTTCTGGTTTGTATATTTCTGGTTTGCATGTATAGCTTCTGTGATTCACTGTAGCAGAAATATCTGGTAATCATAACTGAATCTCAGCCACATAATTTTTCTATGTGATTTATTTATTTTTCTGCTTTCTGTTCTTATATACCTGTAAAAAGTAGAATGAATCTTATCCGTCTCAGCATTTCTCCCTACATTACTGGATTATTTGAGCTTTTATTTACTCCTGTTGTCACCTACCTTCCAGAATTTTTTTATCCTAAAGGTTTTTTATTATCTCTGTACAGTCCAGTAGGTTATGCTAAACTCAGACTTAGGATCCTCCCTCTCAGTTTTAATTCTACATTTATATTCAAACATAGGATATGGACATTAATTCAGCTACACTCCAATTTAAAATTAGAAAATAGTATTACCTGTAATTTGAGAGCTCTCTCCTCTTCATTGGCTGCATCAAGAAGGTCATCAATGTCAATTTCTACATCTGGCATTTCTTCTTCCTGAAAAGCCAAAATTCCCACTTAGTCCATAGATATATCCTTTAACTAACCTCAAAACAAACCTAGTGAGAGCACGCATAACCCCAGACAAGAGGGAAATCAGTAAGGGACAGTGGCTTGATTCCTTGCTCCCGGGCTAGCAGAAGGCCAAGTTCCTTCCACACAAGAGGTGACAGCTCTTAAGCAACTTTTTCCCTCCCAGTCAGGAGTTGTGTTACTAACCCATGCCCAGCAGCAAAAGTCATGCTATTCTCACAGTACTGGGCAAGAGGATGAAGAGGTCAGAGAAGAGGAAGTAGATAAAAGCTGCAGCAAGCCACAAGATTGCTTTGAAAACACTCTTGATTGGACTGCTTATTGTGCTACACTATGGAAGATCTCCATTGCTTGAAGCTGGCTTAGAAGGAAGAACTCAAATGTCCAGGGCCCACAGTGAAGCATGAATTCTAAGGCATAAAGTATTTTAGATAAATTTGTTTTTAAACCTCCTCCACCCATACACTTCTCCCTTTGCATCACCAGCACATCAGACACGTTGTTCCCTGAGTCAGAGCAGCAGTCCACACATTTATTTTTTTTGTGGTTGGACTCGATCTCAGAGGTCCCTTCCAACCACTAAGATTCTGTGATTCTGTGATTTTGAAGGACCCTTTAGTTCTGGAATCCCAATGAGAATTCGTTGTCCACAGATATCACCAATTATTGCATTTACAATTATGCAAAAAAATACTCTAGTGACCATTTCTTGCATTTTCTCACCATAAAAGACACTTCAAAATGGTAAAGCAGCACCTCAGGGCACACACAAAACAACCTGGTCTCAGCCTCTCCCCAACCCCAAGTCCCAACCTCACAGTGGCCTTAGTGTGAGAGACACATGACCCCTGCTCCATCCACACCAACACATGGGAACTGCGAGTCTGTCCTCTCCCACTGCTGCTGCATCACCCTGGCACCTCCTGAATGAAAGCAGGGACCCAAAAGTCTCCAAAGGGGAGGATGGATTTGAGAGTCGGGACGAAGCAACAAGACCACTATCCCCAGCAGCAGCTGTCATCTTTACTCCAACACTTTTCAAGATCCTTTAAAGAAGCATTTTGACAAAAAACCGCGGTGGTTCCAGTGATTTGCAAAAGTTTCAACAATTGTGAAATTATGAATTTAACTGCTCCAATAGCAACTGCCACAGGGAACACCAAACTTACCCTTCTACTGGATAAAAGAAGGGTCCAAACATTAGCAAGGAAGATAACGAATTCTCAAGTTAATCTAATAAAAGTTAAGTACTTAAGTGCCAAACAACTACCTATTATCAGAAGATCCAGCTAAAACATCATCTGTTCAACATTTATTGGGGTGTAAGGAAGACAGACAGAAGTAGGATGATTAAGTCCCCCATTCCCCACCTCTGAAGGAAAGCGTACAGGAACATGCTAGTGCAGCTGTGCAGGCTGTTAGACCCTAATGAATAAAAATATACAATTAGCCCAATTAGCAGGTTTGCTCTTTCAGCATGCATTTTAGACAGAAAGGAAGTGTGGGCAATTTGTTAAGATGAATCATAAAAATACTAGTTACTGTAACACAATCTGGCAAGAAGGGAGTTTCTAACCTAATGCTATAGACTCATTAGCAATTTAAACAACAGGGGGAAGAGGAGAGAAAACAGCCTTCCACAGACTATAACAATATCCAGTAAAAGCCAGCAGAATTGGAAAGGATAAAGCTTAATCCATAACACAGTACACTTAGTAGCTTACTATCCCAACTCTACATTAATTCACATATCACACCAAGAACCAGAAATTCCCCAAATAGACAGTAAACCTCCTGAACATTTGATCTAAGCAGCTCACTATAAATACTGTTGAGATAAGGTGCCTGGAGTTACCCTTAACAGTGTAAACTTATCAAAATACACATCCATGGATCTGCATAATGGCCGATTGTGCATCTGTCTGCACTCAGAAGCACTGCTCAGCACACTGACTGTTTTGTCAGATACACATTTTGAACTCTTGCCTGTCAGACTGGCATTCTGGCAAACTGGAACGATATTGAAAGGTGACAGTGAGGGGAATTCCCTAGAAGGTATATAATGCTTTTTGTGATCACATTTCATTGAAGCTGAGCGCTCCTGAAAGGTTAGTTTTACTCTGATTGGTACCGGTCACATGGGAGAAATCCTTGCTTCTATCCCTCTTCCCTTCTTCAAATCATCTTTCTCCTACATCTTCAAGGTTCAAAACATCAGTCCAGAGGGCAACTGTACCAGCAATTCACTGAAGCTTTGTTATAAGAGGTAACACAGCTCCTCTACATCAAGAAAAGCCATAACAAAACAAAACAAAAAAATAATCAAGAATACTTCAGAAAGAAGGGACTATGGTTGTGTCTGACATACCAGCATTCAATTAAGTTACATTTTCTGTAAAAGAATCATGTGTATCTTCATCACTTGACAGCAGATCTGAACTCTGATACACAACACAAGTAGAAGGGGGGAAGTCCTACTGTGCCTACACAATCTCAAGAGTTTTATGTTAGGCATGGAAAAGACGTGCCTAGGTCAGCAGCCTGACCGCTGCACAACAGCGGAGGAAGAAACAGTCAGGTTTTCTGTTCAGTTCTATTGGTGAGATAAGCGTGATTGATCCTACTACAATTAAGCAGCCAGATCCAGATTAGTCTGCATTGATCCTACTACAATTAAGCAGCCAGATCAGTCTGGAGCAAGCCTGGAAGGTGCTGTGCATGGCTGAAGGGTGGTATTTCAAGGGTCTGGTTAGTGCCATGAGGTTGTGCAAGAAAACCAAAACACTGCCATGTTCTGCTCCAGTGAGAGGGAGACAAGGTGTTGCCAATAGCAGATGATGGAGGGAAGAAAGAAACCACAAGAAACTCCAGAAAGGCTAAAACTGAAAAGGTGTAGGGGTTGCAGGTGCAAGCACCTATCAGTTGAAGCAGTTGAGGGAGGGGAGGATGGACACTCTCCTTTTAAGCACCCTCTCCAGTTTGCATTAACAATGTAGGCAGGGCATGAGCTGATTTCTCCTTGAGTACATAAAATTCCAAAAATGATCAAAGTTTCCTTCCGTGCTATTGAATGTAGCTTAAATTCAACCTTGGAAGACAGCCCCATGGTTATTTAGGTTGCATGAATTCTTTGCAGGCTACGGGCAAAAGACCTTGGGGCACAGTCATGCATTTAAGTAGTAAATAGCTGTAGCAGTTTAAGACATTACAACCTCTCCAGCTGCTGCTCTTTAGCTTCTGGCAGAAGTGACCACAGCCCCAGCAGTGAATGGAACAGAAACAGGTGAGCATCCCTTCGTGAGATCAGGGTAAAGGTCTGACACCCTCCGAAACAACCTTCCACAGCAGCTTAAGCCAAAGGGTTGGATGTTGCAGGGACAGCTGAAGAACACTTGCACACCTTGAGGACAGGAATTCCAGCACAGCAAAAGCAGGTCTGACATATTACAAGTATTTACTAATTAAACATTTATCTGAGGCTTTAAAATTTGAAGGACAATAGTTGCCCTATGGATAAACTTCCCACTATAAACCCAACTCTCAAATCAGTCTGCTACCCCTCATCCTCACTGCCTGTTCACCGTGCATCATCTGACCCACAGTACTGGGAAATAAATAGGTTGGTTTGTTTTTTACTTTAATTTTTAAATTTGGGAGAGAAAAGAGACGTTAAGTGCAGCAAGAAGAGTTAAGGCCATCATTTGTATAGTGAGTTCAGAAGCAACCAGAAAGAACTTAAATGATTCTATGACAGCAAGAGAAAGATGAAGGGAAAAGAGGGAAAGATGACCTGCAATTCAGGTGTATTAAAGCTTCAGACTGTATGAATCATGGATTTCTCTCAAAGTTCTGGAAGACAACCAGTGTAAGTGATCAAAACCAAACTAGAAAATAGGACGAGTCCTTCTAGAAATATCCATTTAATATATGAAAATATTTATTTATTAAAAAAGACATCTGCTGGACATCTAATACAGTTACCTCTTGAGCCAGTTCCTCTGCAGACATGGATGGCAATGCCCAAATGCAAGGCAATGGTTTCAGTCTCAGGATGATAAATAAAATTGACATGAATTACCAGGACTAGAAGACATTGATTGCAAATGTAAATTGATGGGATGATGAACAGATCACACCTAGTACAGGTAAAAGAATACTACCAAATTGTCATTTGTATGAAACACAAAAGAAAAACTCATGTGTTCCTCATTTCAAAGTATTCAGTTGTTTTGGGAGACTTATGGGTCAGGGCAAAACTAGATGAAAATGATAATAAAAAGAATAGTTTAAGTAATCAAAAATTATTAATCCAGAATCAAAGCAAGCTCTTTTCAACTGAAAACTAATCCTAGTTAAGTGGAGAGTCAAAATACAACAGCTGAAATAAAGCTGTTTGCAACACAAAAAGGCTGCTAGTGTCTATTGATTGGTATGAGGAACAGAAGATTAGGAAAGGATGCTACAGACAGCAAGAAAAGACACTTAAGTGCCAGGACTGGGGACACTTGCAGTAGGAACAAGAATCCTCAGTGGTACAAGCAGTTCATGCAACAGTGAATATTAGTTTGCACAGTTAATGATGAGGGAACAACTTTTGGATGCTGCTCCCAGTATGATATCCTTATCATGCTGTCGCATACTATTTTCTCCCACATCAGAAACTTATCTCATTAGCAACCAGTCAGTTCAATGAGATAAAGGCAACACGGGGTGCGAGGCTCAACACCCCTGAGCACATGCCATCCTGTCTGGGCTCCAACTAAGAGTTAGAAAAGCCTGTGCTGCACCCAGGCTGTTCTAACCAGAGCAGAAGCCTCTTCCACCAACACCAAATCTGTCTTCATCACACTTTGAAATAAAAGTGCAGAGACATTAAAGGCAAAGTTATCAGATTTGTCCACTCATTTTGAGTGAATGATCCTACTGTTTCTGAATAATCATAATTTATCTGTGGCCCGTGAATTGTG